GTTATGATTCCAACTCTCACATCATGAATACCTCAATTTCCAATTCTATTCTTCAGGCTTTTAACTAATAATTCCAGACTCTTTATTTGCTACAAAACACAACCAGTATGTACTGGGAACATTATCCTTTCAATAATGTAAAAAACATACTTATTGCTAATAAAAAGTAAGGGGCAGAAAACTCACCATTTACCCATGTTTGTAATGTCTGAAGTGGTAAAATGTAATGTTTTGTTCCTTGTTCCTGGCCTAGATCGAACTCTATTGGAACTTCCTGGGTGATAAGTGTCTGTGTTGATTAGATTCCAACCACACCCAACTTCATACTTAAAAGGTGTCTTCAGGTTGGGCGCTGTGTGACAAGCATACACCCATGTGGTTAGACACTTTGAACTTGTGGCGACTCCCTGACCCCTAATGTAAGTTCAACAACCAAGGACAATGGCTTTATTAATCAAATTTTAGTAATGAAGCCTCCATAAAATGCCCTGAAGAGGGGTGGGAGAACTCATAGGAAGGAGGGGGTGGGGGTGGGGACGTGGTGGAGAGGTACAGAAATCCTCACTCAGCCCACATACCAGGCCCTGCATAATTCTTCCTTAGCTATCCCTGAGCTGAACCTTCTGGAAGAAACCAGTAAAAATCAAGCAGAGCCATTTCCTGAAGTCAGGCAAAAGAAATCGAATTGAATTTTACCGAGTCCTTGGGACACAGTTGATGTTTAGATAAATGTGGAACTACAAACCTCTGAACTGCTGAGCCGTCGTCCCTCCAGCCCTTGAAGGCAAACTTCTTAATAACAAAACTGAACTAAACTTCCAGAGGCAGCACTGAACTCAAGCTCAGGTGGAAATCCTCCGCTCTTTGGACTCAACAATTAATCTGGTTGGAAGTCTTTCTTAAAACAAAACTAATCCAGAAATGACCTGTCCCATGGATCAGAACAACTCCCTATCTTGGTTTTCTCTTTTGCAAAACTAACGATAATCCCACCCCGAGGGCAGTGAAATGAGGGATAACAGTGTATCTGAAGAATCTAGAATTGAACCCGACACATTGCAGATTCAATAAAAACCAACATTAGAACCATCTCAACAAATCGAAAGTCTTGTACCAGGCTAAGTGAATCTCTGAATGGGGGCCTGCTATAAATGTTTCTATAGATCTCTCCAAGTGGTTCTGATGGCAGTCTGGGCTGAACCTCTCTGATCAAACTCTTCACTCCTTCCCTCATCTAACAAGCCACACAGTTCTACACTAGGATGGAAGCATGTTGATAGAATAACCACAAGGCCTGTTGATAGGGGCCAATCTCAACAGGTATTAATAGATACCTTCACTCTCAAAAGTGCCCTGGCTGGTCCATTCTCTCCACAGACAACAAAATTACTCGATATTGTCTGTTTTTGAACTATAAATTCTTATAAGAACTGTTAGAACAAAATGACAGGTGGGCTTTGGTGGTGACGTGTGAATAAAACATAAAAAGATCTCTGGTGCTTTAGATACACTTTTGCTAGATGCAACTTATCAAAAATCCATCAATTTAAAATCAGTTTCTAGGAAGGTCCAAGGACACTGGCTCCTTCCCAAGACTTGAGTGGGCTCGGGTGTGGTTCCATCTTGATTAGTTCCAAGCTGACGTTCATTCTCTGATAACCTAGCCCTTAATAAAACCTTCTTCCTTTTCCCTTTGACTGTGAGTAGCATTGGCTACTCCACCCATGGCCTCCTATGGACAAAGGAATAAAGCAAACACAATGTTAACCTAGCAATCCTGCTGAGAATTGAGATGGAAAGAATAGGGAAACAACCTCCCATTTCTAGTTACCTGTGAATTTAATACATTCTGGCTCAGCCCTTTTTACAAATTGCCACCAGCTGGCTTGAGAACTCATTGGGGGCCCGACTGCCAGTAAAATTCAAGTAACTGTGTTTGAAAATGATGTTGGGGAGGCTTTCTCTTTTCATATACCAAGGACCAAAACTGTGCAAACACCTTCCCTCCGGAGCCCTTTCCCGTGCCCTTCCGCCATTCACCACCAACTCATAGGTAAGTATGGAGAGAATACTTTAAAACAGTTTGTGTGGGTGAAGTGATCACTTGACATCAACTTAAAACACATGGCACGATCACCTCTACAAAAGGACATAGCTGAAACTCTAGCTGGAGGGGTCGAGAGTAGTACCCGTGTAAGTCACAGCGTTTCCTGGTTGGATCACAAGCCTAATTTGAACACTTCCTCCTTGAGGTAACAAGTCTAATGTCTAAAAATGCCTTCCTCATGTGCTTTAAATGTCTGAGAAAGAAACAATCCATGTGAAAAGTCAAATAGCCAGATACTAGTATGGTATTTGAAGGGAACTCTGTCCTCATACAAAATAACTAGAATGTAGATGACTACAGCACTGGGGTGAGTAAAACTTAACAGAGCTGTAGCCTGGGGAGTACTTTAACAGGAGTGTGTGTTCTCTGCAATCTAGATAACAAAACTGAAGTAGAATCTAAGAAAGTACAAACTGGTCCTTGCCTGTTAGGCCTCTTGTCAGTAGTAACCCAGCATCTTCAGTGTCATGTCCTTATCTCTGTTAATGGCTAACCAAAGTTTCATCCTCTCAGGGTTCTTAGAAGGAAAATGCAGTTTGTGCCAGAAAGCAACAGTTCCCAAAAGACTTAAAATCTCCAAGGGGAGGGCCTAGATGAAGCTGAACAGTGATTAATGTGGGTAAGCCAGCTGTGCCTCCCTCCCTTCTCCCCTTCTCCTCTGTCTTCCTCTCTCCCATCCCCTCTCCCCTGCCTTTTCCTTATGGGGGTTAGAATTCTTTCAAATTTTGACTATTATATCATGATCCCAATGTATTATGCAATAGTCGATGATACATGCTATTTTAATCAGGAATTCTATTTTAATACAGAACTTTTAGCTAGATCATGTGCTAAAATAAATGTACTGAGCCCCATCTAGTATGGTCTAGGGAAAGACCTTAGAGAAGGAGAAAATGACTGTGATCCTAAGAGAAACATTAAGGAAGGGATTCCTTGGCCATCAAACTGGTAAACTAGTACACCAACAGGGTGGAAAATATGCAGTAATGGGAACTAAAACAAGCACTATTTATGTTTTATTTACCCACACAACCATCTAAAAGCAGGCCTGTGGAGAAATTTTTGGCTTCAAGGAAAACCTTTTTCAAAAGTGCCATTTGCATTCATGGACCACCTCAGAGATGCATTTGTGTATGGAAGGCCTAATGGCCTGGATGAAGTCCAGCAAGGGAAGTAAATAAAAATAAGCAAGTGTCTTAACCACTTGTCCAGTGCAAATAGGGAAAAGAACGCTAAGAAAAAAAGTCTCAAGTTGGAATGACTCAGAGCTGGGGAGGCCAGGGATGTCATTCCTCAGCCAGTTCGGAGCTCCTGCCTTTCAGCTCAGCTCTCAGCATGAGACGTAGAAGACAGTTTTATTTGGAAAGAGAATGTAAGTCTCTGTCTAGTTCTTGCATGGCTTGGTACTATCTCGAGTGAAATGTACTCACTAACAAGATATTTTGTCAGAGCATGGCCCATCCCTGCTTGGACAGCTCCTGAGAGGAAAGGCCAGGACTAAATGCTGGTCATGGGCTCTGTCCACTTATGCCCTGGTGACCCCAAGAATGACTCCCAGCCTCTACTTCCCCATGTGGGATGATCTTGTTCCCACAGACTTTTGAGTTACTAGAGTAGGTAGAAGAATCCACAACACACTGATGACCAAGTTCTTTGAGATTCTCCAAAGAAAACAGCATGAACAAGCTATACTATCAACAGAAAAGGGGATTGCCCCAGGACACAGGGTGGAGCTGGAAATCCTGGCTAACTGCACAATGAGAAATAGCCTGGATTTCTGCCCCTCCACTTTCCCAGAAAGAAGCACAGCTAATGTTTCAGTCCAGAAGAACCCATAAAGCCAGATGAAAGGAGAGACCAAAGAGACCAGAGCATCCAGCAATGCAGCATGATGCACCCAATGGTGGAGTGGGTTCTCTTCTGTCTAGTCAGTCTCTAGTCAGTCTGTCTGCTGTGCTAGTAAATGTAGAAGTACAGTGGCCTATGGCTAAAACATTTGTGAGTGTTTCCTCAGTCTGAGAGAGGAAGCCCAGGGTGGTATTTGTATGGTTACCTCAATGCCATGGTCCAATCCAGGATTTTCCTAACACCTAAAGATTAATAATTTACATGAGCACAATAAAGGGTCTGAAAAATTTGACTCTCTTATGCATACAATCTGCCTTTTCTTATTAGAACCCACATTAAGCCACAGGACACTGAAGAGAGGTGAATTATTTGGGAAATCCTTGCCTGAAATCATCCTAGATCCTGGAGAGAAGTGATGGGGGAGGTCCTTCTGTGTATATGATTGTCTTACTGGTTGATAAATAAAGTACTGTTGGCCAGTAGAAAAACAAGTTAGGCAGGAGTAGGAGTCGAGGAGGATTCTGGGAAATGTAGTAAAAAGAAGTCTGGTGATACAGGCAGGAAGTGACATAACAGGCAGACTCATATATAAGCAAGGGAAAGAAGGAAGTTGGCCCTTTTTCTCTTCCTCCTGCTCTCTGCTCTGGAGCTGCCATATGATCTGGGCAAGAGAAGACATAAGTCTTTATGGTTGATACTTAAGACTGAGCTAGCATATAAGAAATGCTAGTCAGTTGACCAAGCAGCATTTGTACCTAATATAAGTCTCTGTGTGTTACTTGGGACATTAACATGACTGTGGGCAGAACTTGGGCGGCCTGGCAGAAAGCTCCCATGTGGCAGCAGGGCTCCGGCGTCTTGGAGTAAAGACTTATCATTACAGAGAAGTTCTTCTGCCTCAAACACTTCAATGAGTGAATGAAGTTGGTTTAGGTCACACACAACTCGACTCCCACTGAAGCTATCAATATGTCTTTTCATTAAAGGTCCATGGGAGCTTTAGGGGAAGACACTCAATGCCAAGAGCAGAGCTGTGCTTGTGTACCTGTGGTTCCTGGTCGTGGCTGCTGGGATCCCTCTCGTAGCTCTCTGCATACAGTCTGATGGTGGCCCGCACACCACTGGAGGAGCTGAGCCGGAATATGAGTCGTGATGCATCGGAGAAAATGATCCTCAGGCCCTGAGACCAAGAACATCCCAAATGGCTCAGTGAACAAAAGAATACACAGGCAATGATAACCAATACATGGTGCAGAAATCAGAACAGTCCTATACACCAAAGCCCATCAGGGCCATGCCAATTTCTAGTTGGCTCTGGATGCTCACTCAAGCACATCACTGTGGTAAACCCAAAAGCTACTTGAGGTTAGCCATTTGTTTCTTGATTCTATTTCTGTTGCTTTGTGGCTAATGTTGGCAGATGCTGAAGAGCCAAACTATGACCATGTGCTCAGATTTTCTTGGTCTAGTAATATGAGGATTGTAAAAACAGCGGCGACAACAGAAATAGGATACCATTTAATAAATGTTCTCAAATCCATGGTGTAACCTGCATAAATCTGAATACAATAGGCATTAAGCAAATTACCTATTGCAATAAGAAATACTCTGGCCAGGCGTTGGTGGCACACACCTTTAATCCCAGCACTGGGGAGGCAGAAGCAGGCGGATCTCTGTGAGTTCGAGGTCAGCCTGGTCTCCAGAGCGAGTACCAGGATAGGCTCCAAAGCTACACAGAGAAACCCTGTCTCGAAAAACCAAAAAAAAAAAAAAAAAAAAAAAAGAAAGAAAGAAAGAAAGAAAGAAAAAAGAAAAGAAAAAAAGAAAAAAGAAAGAAAAGAAATACTCTGCTCCTTCCCTCCCCACCCCATCCCCCCCTTTTTTTAAGACTGAGTCTTTCCATGTCACCCAGCAGGCCCTGAACTCAAGACCCTGTCCCCACCTTACAAGAGCTGGTATACATGTATGCATCAATTGCTAAATAACCGTTTTACACTTTAAGGTTCAGGTTACCCTGTATACTGTTAGGCTTAGCTTTACCCCTTCCCCATTATCACAGTGGTAGAACCCCACAATAAAGTGATCAGGGCTGCCCCCTCCTCCGGGCTGTGAGTGTTGCTGAGAACAAATTCATTATCTTAGATGACCATCTCTTTCTTATCTAGAAATGCTGGGCACCAGCTTGGGGTCAGGACAGAGCTGTGGCCAGATGAATTAAGTGCTACCCAATATAACATTCTATGTATTTTTTCCTCATTCATGACAGGGATATTTAAAATATGGCCATACTTTTATGACCATAAGATCATAATCAGACTACTGATGAAAATACATTCTAAGGCAGCTAACAAAGCAAATCTGATCAGTAAAGCATTAGAAAGACCAGAGGAAGAAAGAGGAAGCAAAAGAGTGTCTACCAGTCACCACTCATAAAAAGTAGATGTCTAAGATGACCTCAATGTCAGACATTTTCCCTAAGTAATTTGTCATGGAAATGTCCCTGGTCTCCAGTCCTGCTGGCTATGAACCAGCATCACTAAAATCACACCATTCCTGCTATGTGAATCTGAATGCCAGTTCCTTATCCCATCCCAAGTCTGACCATGTTTGATACAAGAGGGCATCTGATCTCATCTGCATGGTTTCCTACTTTTCAAAGCTTTGTCCCAATCCCCAAATGCAAAGCTTTTGTTTCTTTTAGAATTGTTCAACATAAACCAATTGGAATCAGCTCCCGTATTGGCAACCAAGTACTAGTGTTTACTCATTGGGTTAACATGAAAGTGGCCCCATGGAGTAAGTGCTAGGCTATGTCCTAGGTTTATGAAGGCAAAGACACATGTTTGTCCTTCATAAACCTGGAGTCATCTATCACAATCATCAAAAAACCATTTATTAGCTAGCTACCTTTTGCCACCAGAGAGCTGAACAGTCAACAAATCCCAAATGGAGCAAACACACTGAACAGTGAACATGGAGCAAAAGAAAACATTTCCTAGTATCCGGAAATGCCTGCTAAAAAATGATGTTCAAACCAATCACAGACCCCTGGAAGTCCCACAGATGTGCTCATAGTTAAGTTTTCACAGATGCTTTCAAAACTGTTAGTGATGTTGAAGCGTACATTCTCATTGTCTCAATATAGGGCAACCAGCACAAACTTCATCCCTCCCAGGACTATGTATGGCTTGTTTACAAGTTGATTAAAGCAATTCTAAGGCTGAGGTACTTAACACACCATATCTGCAAGAGTAAAATAACTTGGGAGCTACCCTTTCCAGCCCTTTCCCTGACTTAAGTCTTTGAGACAGATTCCACCACACAGTGAACTTCCTGGGTTTGTTTATGGCCAGTGGGAGGTATATAGGATTTTTGGTCATACAGAATCATCAATTTGTAATAAGTTCATATCTAAACCTTTACAAATGAAATCACTTCCCCACTGGTTATACTGCATGCTACACACATAGAAGATTATTAGTAATTAGTAGAAAGGAAGAGAGTTTGAGCTTGAAGAAATGATACCTGAGTGAATGGCATGTATCTGCCTACTGAGAATAGCTTACCATCATCTCTCCTTCTAGAACACCAACCATAAGAGCTTAATTGAGAATCAGTGTTGTTTGAGAAGCCCTTACAGGCAGTCAACATCACAATTCTCTTCTCTGCATGGAACGCAGGACTTTTCAGACCAACCCCACCTCTTCATTGCAATGTCGTATCTATGTGTAAGGTTAATTAATATCCAGTGTTGACTTGACTTCATTCAGAATTACCTAAGAGACACACTTCTGAGGGTGCATCTGTAAGATTGTTTCCAGAGATGATTCTCTGAGGAGGGAAGACCCACTCTACATGGGGGGAGCACCATCCCATGGCTTTAATCCCAACTAATTAAAATGGGAAAAAGGAGACAGACATCGAAGCACCAGCATTCCCCTGCATGTAGCCTTGCATTCCTGCTGCCATGCTGTCTCTACCACGATGAACTGTATCTACAGCAACTGTGATACAAAATTAACCCTCCCTCTCTTCAGTCTCTTCTTCTCAGGTATTTGGGAACAAGAAACAGAACTAATACACCATGTCTGGTGAATACCACTTCTACATGTGAAGAGTTAGATTGGATTTCTTTGAGATCTGCATGTTCCTTCAATGAGCATACTGACTTTGCAGTCCACACATGAGCCATGTTCTTGCTAGCATGAATCATTATTACCATGAACAAAGCAGTAAGGCCAAAGTCACTATTAAACAAGAGTTGCCAAGCTTCTTATCATTCATTCCTTAATTTCACCACAAGAACAGCAATAATAGGTTTTCTCTTCATTTGTTGTTGTCACTGTTGTGGTTTAGATTATTTCAGAGGTTGGTGAAACTTGTTACACCCTCTGTTTTGTTTTGTTTTAAATCAAGTTTTATTGAGACACAACTATGTCCATTCAGTTAGGGATTGCCTATAGCTACCTTTGTACTATAGTTTCAGAGACTAATAATTGTGGCACAGATCATCTAGTGCATAAGGCCTAAAATATTTTATTATAAGTTCTCTACAAAAGTGTTTGCTGGTCTTGGGTATAAACAACTACATCATGCACTACCTGGAATTTACCCTTCAACCTTATAGTAAAAAAAAAAAACAGAAAATGTGGCCAGCTGCCATATCAAAATTTCAGCAGAGAGAAGTGATGATGATGAAGATTGTCATCAAGGGATTCCACCCATTCATTTCCCAGGTGTTCCAATTCTAACTATAGACGCATCTGGACCATATCTGACCCAAAGCTGTTGACTTCTGACCACCGACTCCTTCTGTAAGTAGATTTAATGAATGGAACTTTAGTTTGCCATTCTCGCTCTTACTGCAGGCTGCTATACCACACTGTCTTATAATGTCTACTTTCCCAGTCTGGAGGAATATTGTCAAAGACGGTATGAAACTAGATATGAGACATTCTCTCACAAGTCAAGTGTTTTGAAAGCCTTTTCTTCCCTGAGGAACTGGTTGACTTTTGCTTTCTGACAATAAACACTTTGTAACTAACCATATTTCCCTTCTCAATATGGCTGCCAGGACACTTAACACTAAACTTGAAGTTGAGTCCAAGTGGATCTCTCTGACTCGTGAAGCTATGAGTTTTTCTTCTTCTATTCTTGGCATTCTAATTTATACATTCCCCAGTCTTGATTTCTGTTTCTTATTTATATTCTAATAGCTTCATTATGTGTTTCTGCTGCCATAAATCCTCTTGAACAGACAAGGCCCAGAGCAAAAAGATAAAACAAGTTCCCATGGCAACTTGACACTCGAGTGTTTGCTCTACTATGTTTTGTCTTCAAATCACTCATTAACACTGAGAGGAAGACTGTCACACACCATGTACACCTTCACTTTAGCTACAGAGTCAGGACAATGCCAGCCACAGAGTAGGCCCTCCATAAACACTTGTTAGTTGATGTCACTCCATGTTCAACAACGAGTGAGCAATGCTAGGGACCTCACCAGGCACTCCTGGAAGGATCTTCTACCTTTAGCTAAAGGAAAACAAATGCACATTTCTTCATGATGAACTGGGGCTAATGGCTCTGCCTGAGAAGGTAGTTGATATTAGAGATAGAAATCACCAGCACATTATAAATAAGTCAACATCCTACATTTACTAGCCTATCTTTTATTGCCACAATGTGCTAAAACAAAGCAAGTTTGTCTAAAACAATAGAAGCTGAACCAATGTGGCTTCCTGGCTTACAATTTCGGACAGACTGCACACTGGAATTATCTGGGAGGGGAATTGTCCTTACAAGACAATAGTGCTAGGCCTTGGCCCAGACATGGTGATTGAATTTGTATGGGGAGTCCCTTGGGCACTTGGATTTAGTGACTCTCTGGATGAAATGGATGTTGCAATCAAGACCACTGCAATAATGTCTTCTCTGTGTGTCCTCTGCCTCATGCTACAGATGTCTGAATTGTGCTCCATGTCAGTTTCTAGATTTTAGCATGACATTCTAAGGAATTCCCAGAACAGTCATGAAGGAGTCTATGACTCCTCTGTAGCTACAGTAGCTAGAATGTCAGAATCACACACACACACACACACACACACAGAGAGAGAGAGAGAGAGAGAGAGAGAGAGAGAGAGGAGAGGGTGTTTGTCTCCTTTAGAAGATAGGGTAAAT